TATCTCATTGTTGTTTTGATTTGCATCTCTCTAATAGCTAATGATCGTGAGCATTTCTTCATATGTTTGTTGGCAAAAGTTTGTCTTTATTGAATATAATCATTTTTAAGTTGCATCTTAAAAATTAGTAGTAGTAGCACCTCTCTGTTAAGTGAATAGGTCTGAAGTATTTATAGTTTATTTTCTTAAAGTTGTATGTGCTCCACATAAACTTGTTTCTACTATTGTTGCGTTAGACTTTTCTTCATAATGGGAAAAAAAAAGAACTATAATCTAGGTTTTGCCAAGTGATCATAAATCTCATATTTTGTCTGTGTAATGCTTTTTGCTGGATGTTAACTATAAAACAAGCTTGAAGATGAGATTCTGCAAGTTTATTTAAAATATAAAGTTCACTGAAAATGCATAAAGTGCTTCCAGATTTTTTTCCAGAAAACAATCATTACCATATTTATGAATTGTCTTTTGTTTGTATTTCAGTTCTAAGGGCTGAATGTAAGTTTGTGTGTCATGCTTTATGCCTTAATCAGAGATGCTAGCATTTGAAAATATGACTTCAACCTGACTATTTAATATCAACATTAGAACTTATAGAGTTCAAATTATTTGTGGCAATCCAAGCACATTTCTATTTCTTAATAAGCATCAATGACTATATTAAAGGCAAATAGCTTTTAGTTAAAAAAAAAAATAAAGTTGTTTAGCTTAAACAATGAAAATCTTAGTTTTCAATGATTAAATTTGCTAATTATGTTCAAGTATGCCATGGCCAAAGCTATCATATGAATAAAAGTTCATATAATTACATTGTCTAAAGATAGGATTTCTTTTTGTAAAAAAGTATTATAATTTCCATCACCATATAGAATGATTTAAAAACAAACAAACAAACCTAGCATTCATTTCTGGTATATTTTGTAAGGTCTGTAATAAGCTGTCCTCCCTCCTTTGTTCTTCCTTTGAACTGTTTCTTCTCTTTTTAAAATTTTCCTATTCTTCCATGATGATTAGGGGAATCACTGAACATACTGTGTCTGAACTTTAGGAAGGTGTTTAACCTAGATCCAATGATATTCTCATGTACAGATGTAGACAAGACAGTATAGTCAAGTGGATTCATAGCTCATTGAGTGAAGGAATCCATGGAGCACTGAATCCGTGGTTATTTGGGTAGATGCTAATGACATATGTCATAGGGTTCTTACTGACTTAAGTACTGTCCCGTACAACACACTTACAACTAATTTGGATGACTATGCGAGAGGTACTTAATCTGATTGCAGCAGCAAGAAACTAGAAGGAATACATTGTGTGCTAAGGTAGAAAAGAAATTAATACATTGTGTGCTAAGGTTGAAAAGAAATTGGTATTCCAGAAGTTATTAACAGATTTGAGAGAAGGGCAGATTCTAAAAATATAGTATTTAGCAAGGATAACATAAGAAAATTTGGATTGTAGCTGAGTTGCTTAAGTATAGAATTATATATGTATATAAAATATGTGTGTGTGTGTGTATATATAAAGTTTATGTGTATATATATATGTGTGTGTGACACACATACGTATATACAGAAACTGAAAAAAACAAACCCACTGCCATTGAGTCATATCTGATTCATAGTGACATATATACATATATATATAAAATAATGTGGAAATTTAGCAGACTGAAAGTGCATACAATTAGTAATATGATTAGTATTAAGCTAAAATGGTGTCAATATTAAAAGTTTGTCTTTATTGAATATAATAGTTTTTAAGTAGCATCTGT